GGACAGAGGAACCTGGTGGCCTACCATCCATGAGGTCACACAGAGTTGGACATGATTGAAGCGACTTAGCGCACATACATGTATTTATAAAAGCAGCAGTTCTTGAAAGTATCCATGTGTTGAAAATGGATACTTAGGCAAAATAATGCTTCTTGACAACTATAGTGGTTGATCTTGATGAATCCAGTCTAGATTTACATATTAAGGTTCTTCTACCTAATGGGCACGTGGCATGACTATGCTCTGATGCTACCAGGTAAAAGTCAAAGTCTTCTCTTTTCCTGAGTTCTCCTATTGGTATATCATGGTCAATTTTTTTTTTTTTTTTTGCAATCCTAAAGTCCACCAACTGACTCTAAGCTCCTTCTTTTGTTGACATTTTGCTTATTTGAAAAAGTAACATAAGTCCTACCATTTATGATCCCACCAGCCCATATGTCTTTTGGAACATCTGCACAAAACAGCATTTTAAAAAAAGAAGACTACTCCTCCATAGTACTTGGTCCATCACATACTTTAGAGACTGCCTGACATAACAAAGATGTAAGATTTGTCCACCTACTCAGCCACCTGTGATCTCCTCCCTAAACACTTTGCAGGAAGCAGTGAAGCAGTCTGACAGGTGGCCACAATTTTGGTTCCCTGGCTGGCTAACATAGGACGATATGTCCATACTGATGAGGCAAGATCTGAAAAAGGATGAGCTGATGAGTAGGCTGTAATAGTCACAACAGAACTATTTCTCAAGTAATGTTCTTAATGTTTATGCCAAATTTTTATCTTCTTTTCATTTGATATTTTTATGCCTAGATTTTTAGATCTGATATTTATATTTATAATAATCAGATAACTTATTGTTCACATTTCAGTTGAGATTGAGGAGGCCAAGTCTACATTAGGTAGCAGGAGTGACTCATTCCAGAGTATGCAACTCTTATTTTCCATGAGGCTGTGGCTAAAATTATTAACCTGTTTTAGATTTCAGACTCGCTAAGTATATAACTGATATTATGTCTATAAAAATAAGGTAACTAATATTTACACAAATCAAGTAAGATGCTGCAGATCAAAACCTTATTTTACAGTGCCTGGCACATAGTGAGGCATTCAATGAATTTATCAATAATAATATTAATAGTAGTAATGATAATAGTAACGTCTTTCACAGTTAGAGGATTGAGGTAATTAAGTTTAATTGTCACTAAGTGAATCTGTGTGTGACTAGGAAGTAAAATTCAATTTGTAGAGAGTATTTTTAATAACTGCTAAGGTATTTTATTCTTTATAATTTTATATGCTGTTTTAAACTTATAAACTCATGCTCTCTTGAGGAAGAATTTAAGGAGGATTATCATAAGAACAAGATGTTTTGTATATAGTGGGGAAGTCAGAACTAAGAAATAGAAAAGGACAGTATATCCAGCACAGGATCCTTCACTGTTGCTCTGTTGAACATAAGATTGGTTTAAAATTTGATGCAGCTAGGACAGAAGGGTCATTTCATTCAGGCCTCATAAACATGAAAGGCCTTGAATTTAGAATAGTAGCATTATCTACTAATTCATGTATGTCTGAAGACCCAGAAATACTCTGAGGCCAACATCTCCATAATGGAAGTTTAGTTCTGTGTCTTTTTGCTGAACCCATTGTCTTAAATATTCTAATTAATTAATTTTTATAAATCCTGCAAGTATCTTGTATAGCCTAATTAAATTTTATTGAATCTGTGTATATGCCCAAGACAAATCAATAACTTTTAAAATATTAAGCATTTTAGGTATATAACAATTTTTATAACTCTGTTTTATTGTTTCTTTTTTTTTCTTTAATATAAATGGGGCCTCCAAAAGTGGAAATGGGCCAGGCTTCTCCTGACCTTTGGGATTGCTTAGCCAAAAGATTCAAATAGGATTTTATCAGTATTTAATGGGAGAGGAGGAAGCAGGAAACCAGAGAAATTGTGGAGTAGCCTTGAAGGCTTGTTAACAATTGTTGCAGAAATGGAGATGGTTAGCTCTACTCTGTATGAAATAAGAGTCAGGCTCCTGCAGAATGTAGCAGTAAATACTGCATCCCTCACCAAAAATTATTGAAAACCCTTTCCCTGGAGTTTTAAGTCATTAAGCCAAACATTTAACCTTCTGTCTCAATGTGCCTAGTTGATATATACTGCTAAGACACAAAATATATAAAAAGTGTAAAAATATCAAAGTGATAGATTTGCAGTTGAGATGTATGAATAACTTGAGTTATTTCTATTTGCAACACAGACAAACAGCCCATTACCTGATCTTGAGTATGACCAGATAGGATGCATAAATAGCAGCAAAATTTATGTTAATTTTATAATATGTAAATTCTCTTTATGAATGCATTGCACTGAATGTGAAATGTGTGCTCCACCACTACAGACCTTTAAGAAAAAAGAGCAACAGAAAACCCATCTTTTATATGATGGACATAAAATACAAATTAAAACTCAAACAGAGTAGGGGAAAAAGAAAATTGTTAGATGCTGAAAATGAATCTGTTTATTCAAATATATTTGTCCTTTAGCACTGATAAATTTTGTATCTGCATCAAAGAACAGAAAATATTTTTATTATTTTGCTTTGGGTTAATACAGCCATATGTAGGTCTCAAACAAATTTATTACTAGAAATTGCATTCAAATTGATTCCAGTATATTGATTGAAGTTACAGAAAAAGAGATATTACTTAACACTTGAATTGTTTATTGCATTGTTGTCCTAATCTCAGGCAAGGTCATTTTAGTAATCTAGAAGTAAAACTCTTATTTATAAAGCCTTAATTTTAATACATGCTTACTGCAAGAACTTTTCTAGTTTAGAAATTATACACATATATATTATATATACATATTTGTGGTATGTGTCTATAGATCCTGACTATTAAAGTATGGGCAATTGGTATATTTCTACTTAAACAAAGGTGACATAATCAAATGTCTTACAATAGGTGGAGGCAGAAGCATACCTTTTTATAACAAATGCTCAGTTAATTACTCCTTGAATCAGTGCATGCATGGAGTGAAGGATTAGAAAACTGAAGAGGAATGGCAGTAGTCCACATATGAATGGATAGGTGCTCTATGTAAAAGCACTATTATGGGTAGCAAAAAAGTAAAGCGTAGTAGTTACCCAGGTTGTACTGAAACTGTGGATTCTGCCTCACTATTACTATAAAAATACTTCCCTGGTTCAGTTCAGTCCAGTCTCTCAGTCATGTCCTACTCTTTGCGACCCCATGGACTGCAGCCCTCCAGGCTTCCCTGTCCATCACCAACTCCCAGAGCTTGCTCAAACTCATGTCCATTGAGTCAGTGATGCCATCCAAACACCTCATCCTCAGTCATCCCTTTCTCCTCCCCCTTCAACCCTTCCCCAAATCAGGGTCTTTTTCAATGAGTCAGTTCTTCACATCAGGTGGTCAAAGTATTGGAGCTTCAGCATCAGTCCTTCCAATGAATATTCAGGACTGATTTCCTTTAGGATGAACTGGTTGGATCTCCTTGCAGTCCAAGGGACTCTCAAGAGTCTTCTCCAACACCACAGTCCAAAAGCATCAATTCTTCAGCTTTCTTTATAGTCCAGCTCTCACATCCATGCATGACTACTGGAAAAACTGTAGCTTTGACTAGACGGACCTTTGTTGGCAAAGTAATGTCTCTGCTTTTTAGTGTGTTGTCTAGGTTGGTCATAATTTTTCTTCCAAAGAGCAAGTGTCTTTTAATTTCATGGCTGCAGTCACCATCTGCAGTGATTTTGGAGCCCCCAAAATAAAGTCTGTCACTGTTTCCCTCGTTTCCCCATCTATTTTCCATAAGTGATGGGATCAGATGCCACAATCTTAGTTTTCTGAACACTGAGTTTTAACCCAACTTTTTCACTCTCCTCTTTCACTTTCATCATGAGGCTTTTTAGCGCTTCACTTTCTGCCATAAGCATGGTGTCATCTGCATATCTGAGATTATTGATATTTCTCCCGGCAATCTTGATTCCAGCTTGTGCTTCCTCCAGCCCAGCCTTTCTCATGATGTACTCTGCATATAAGTTAAATAAGCAGGGTGACAATATACAGCCTCGATGTACTCCTTTCTTGATTTGGAAAGTGGTAAAGAATCCACCTTCCAATGCAGTTTCGATCCCTGGTGGGGGAACTAAGATCCCACGTGCCCTGGAGCGCTAAGCCCACAGGCCATAACTAGAGAAGACTGTGTGCCTCAACAAAGACCCAGCACAGCCAAGAAAAAAGAAAAAACCAAAATAACCAAATCCCCAAAACATAAAGACAAACACTGTAATAGTGTGTAATAGTGGTTAATTTCAACTTCCTAAATAATTGCCAGCACTTTATTTTCTTTTTTTCTTTTATATTTCACTACGTAAAATTTATTTGCTTTTTTTAATAAAAAATGTATAACACCAGCACCTACTCTTCAATCAGTTAATTTATGAAACCATTCTGTTTTGTAGAATACACATTGGCATTGAAACAGTTTAAGGAAATGTAATAGCTATCTACAAAAAAGTTAATTTTGATTTTATTCCCCCCACTTTTTTATGAGTCTGCACACATAAATGAAACAGTTTATGAGTCTGCACACATAAAACAAAAATTTAAATTTTCAAACATTTTATATTCATTAATGAAAAAGAAGTACACTGCTTTCTTGCTATGGTCTTTATAAAGGACTTAAAAATTTCAAGTTAAAAAAAAGGTACTAGGATAACTGCTTATCTTACAACAGCATTTTTACATAGAACGATTTAATCGGCATGCAACTTCTCTATGTTGTCACATACCTGTAATTTAGGGAAAATTACACCCATTTTACAGAAAAAATCCCAATACATATACTGCAATAAGCTCAAAGCAATGTTAAAAAGACCAGTGTGAATGGCACACAAAAAATTGTTTCTTTATAAATTATTAACTGGAATTCCTGATCATGAAGTAGGCACGGGGAGATCTAGTCCTCAGGGCTTTGCTCTCTGGAAGAACACCTTTAAGTAGTTTTTAAAAACTTTAGCATCAGGTTGCTGAAGCGCTTGACAAAACTCCTGAATTATCTCTGGAGCTACTTGCAAGGAAGGCAGGTATTCCTGTTGAAGATACTGAACACATTCTGGGCCCCGTTTGAGATGAATTGTTTTCAGTGTCACCGCACACTCAGATAAAGCCAATACTGTTTGTGCATCTGCCAGGTCAAAGGTTTGTTTTAAAGGTGCTAGGAAACATGCGGGGACAATGTGCTTATAAACAAAATCAGCAAATCCCACTGGTCCATCTTTACCTCCCCAGAGTTCTACCAACTTGGAAAGGATAATAAAACATGTTTTCTGAGCAATGGGATCTGGATATTCGACTGCTCCTTGAATAACAGGAACCAGCACTTGTTCTACATTCTCTGCACCTTGATTTGCTATGACTTCACTCATTCCGCTGCCCGTGACGGTTTGCAGGAAAGCAAAGTAACTCCTCCGCAACATCTGCTTCTCTAAAGCAGCAGACTGGTCATTTTCTTCTGCTGGTCGGAGCAAAACTTCAAAAATTGCATGAAGAAGAGGCATGAACATCTGTTGTAAAAATGGGGATACCTGTATCTTAAATTTGGCTGTGATCTGGTTGATGAGAGGGATGAATTCCTGGAGGTCCTTTGCTTCACAGTCTTTGAGCATGTGTTCTGAAGCGGATGGAATGAAGGGAAGGACTTCTTCCTCCAGGCAAATAATCATGCGATGAAGGAAAGTGCGGACTCCACTTCTGAGAACATCCTTTTGTAAGGGACAGCTGAGAGCTGGCAAGAATGTCTGTAAACAGTCCAGGTAAACTTCCGAGCAGCCACACTGCTTCACGGTCTGCTTGTTGCTGAAAGCTTTGCTGGTTCGACTAGCAAATCCAACAGCATGGTTGAGACAGTCTGCTAGAGATGCCTGCCTTTCTTCGTCCTGTGCCAGCATCAATTTTTCTAACAGAATTTTAAACTTCTCCATGAGTGGAGTCAACAGATTCCTCATTAATGCCTGCTTCCGCTCTGCTGGATACTCACTATTAACAATTAGCACTCCAGCTGTCTCATAGATAAATAATTGATTGTCGCTGCTCAACAAGGACTGGTAACCATTCTCAGGTGGAGAAAGCTCTAATAAATCTTGTATTCTATTCAGAATATCCTCAATGAAAGGATTCATTTGTTTGTTGAGAGATTTAACAAATCTGGAGAATAGGTAAGCGGTTCTGCTCTGGACTTTAGCACTAGGGTGCCACAGACCCCTGTGATCTAAGAAAGCCATTAGTACACATGGAATGTGCTGAGGTTCAACTGTGAAAAACTTTTCGTATCTAACAACCGTTTCGAAGAACTCCAATGTCACAGATGTGTGTTGATAGGAACTAACTCCTGATGTCACCAGAGTTCGCATCATATCCTGCAAAGCACTAGCTTTTGAAACATCCCCTGAGAAGTGAGCACCATGAGATACTGGAAGAGCTTCTGCCAACATATACAGCAATCTTATTGCCACTTCAGCTTCCATAAACCGTGTAGTCTGCCAGTTCTGCAGTGTAGAACTGAACACTCTGCGAACAGAAGCCAGCAGTAACTCTGGTGAAACTTGAGCAAGCCTGTCCAACAATAACTTCAGTTGTTTTCTATATTCTACAAACATGGCTTCGTCTTCACCCTCATTTATATTCTTCATCGTAAGTTAATTTTTTCATAACGGCCAACATGATTGCCTCTACATTAGCTTTTTGTTGATCTGAAAGCACTGTAAGCTGTTTCAAAATATGAAGATAATCGTAACAAAATCCAATAATGTTAGAAGAGATGTCATCATCCTCATGAATTAGGAGCTGCAACATCAGCGCCACCTTTGTTTCAGTACCTTGCAGTGCCTCCTGAGCATTTTTGATATCCCCATTTTTAATTAATTTAGTCCAGCTAACTATCAATGACTGTCCCATTCCATTGACCAATTTAGAAAATCTGGCCAGGAAGTCAACATCTTCTTCCCGGTCAATGCTGAAAAACCCAGCAGACTGTAACACTTGACACAAAGATTCTACCAGTTTCATTTTATCAACAGGATCCATTCCTTTATTTACAATTTCAAATAAACAATCAGTTCTTCCCGTAGAACTTCTATTGACATATGACCTAGCAGCATATTTATAAACGTATCATTGGCTATAAGGGATAAGTCTATCCAAGAGACATAAGCCCCAACTACTTCAAGGCACTGGCATGTCACTTCTGAATTGGTATACTGATAATTTTGTAGGATTTGGTACCATGATTCCACCAAGTTTGGAATGCACTGTTCCCTCATAGTATCCTTTATGAGAGTATTCCTACGAGCCTCCTCTGAGGTGTGAACCACATCACGATCCACCAACTCTGAATCAATAGCCATGAGAATTCGGAGGTACAGATCTACTCCCCTTGGATTTAGGTCCACTACTGAGAGAATGTCAAAAAAAAATTTGGGCCATTTAGTGAGATATTATGTAACAAAAAGCAAGGCGAAGACTTGGGCAGCTTTATTTCATATGAAGGTCTTCTCTGGTTGGGGATTGAGCATCTGAGCTTGAAGCCAAGATACAAGCGTCTCTCTAATTAGTTGTTGTTGAACAGTGGTTAGTTCTGAATATTTGTATTTAACTTGATGTTCCAGTACTTGGAAGCAGAAAAACTTAATATGATCATCACTGTACGTCCTCTGAGCCAGAGCTTCTGCACACACCTGCCAGGCATCTGGGGAAATCTTTAACTGTTCAAAATAGGCCAGGGCCCTTTGTCTGAAAGTCTGAATCAGCATTTGGATTTAGACCTAAGAGAGCCTGTTCATCCATTCCTGCTGCTATACTTGGAGTTTTCTGATTACAATAGGCGTCCCCTCTAATCCCACAGAAGAATCCACAAACATCTTCCCTATCACTCCATCCCGCCTGCCCGCCTGCACTCCCGAGGGCCCGTCAGTGGAGCCGCGCCGCAAGCAGGGAGCGAGAAGAGCGGCCCTCGTCCTCGTCGTCCTCCGCCACGGCCGCGGCGCTAACGCTGGAGACGGAGCTGGCCGGGGCCGCGAGCCTCTCGCCGCTCTGCGTTTCCTGGCGCCTTCTCCTCCGTGGCGCCGGGCAGGAAAGCTAGCAAGCTGGCGGGCGGGGTTGGCGCCCCAGGAAGGTTAAGAGCGTGAGGGCCGGCTAAGGCCGCCACGGCCGTCGCCAGCACTTTATTTTCTAAAAAAAAAAAAAATGCATTGGGTAAAGTTATGATTAGTCTCTGAAACAGTTTTATCTGTTAGTAAGTAAAGAAAGTGATGACATCTTAGAGGGCACATGGATGTATTTGAATTCTGCCTCCATTATTACAATTGTGAATTCTGATCCCAGATCTCCCCACCTTTAAAAGGACCATAGTAATGTTCAGTCTAGATTAATTTTGAGTCAGTTAAACAAAACAGTGCTTTTTTCCCCCCTAGTTCATAGCATGAAATATAATATTGAAGTAAATGTTAATTATTTTTCTTCCTAAATCAGAGAGAGAAAACCTGAGTTCTATGAGCAACAGAAACCTTAGGAAAAGTGAAAGTTGACCGTATCATTTGAGATTCTATTGTGGACATATTTGTACATATATCATACATTTTAGTAGAGTCAATAAAAATATGCAAATGTCAGTATAATTTCATGGTGTCACTAAAATAATTGCTTCTTTTTTTCTCCATCTTTGCTCTGTTTTATTTTGACAGATTGACCCAGTCAGTGCATACCTGTGGGCTTAGCTTAGAGCCAGTTCTATCTCTGTGTGTCTGAATCATTGGATTCCTCTGTTGCATTGCAGTTTTCCGTTTTATTCTCCAAGTGGCTTATACTTTGACTTTTATTAATCCTAATAACTGAGTTTTCCATAACCTATTTTAAGTCTTCAAGTTACTGATCATCAGTTCACTTGGTCTCTACTCATATTTAGATATTAATTCAGTCTTGTTTCTCTTTCTTATCCAACATGGTTTTCTGCTGTTTATCTAACTTGATTTTTTCTTTGCAGATTGGCACTCTTTTCTCTTGTCACCAGCATAATAGCACCTTGAACTCTTTGCCAAACATTCTTGGCATGATTTGAGTTTGTGTGGACCTAACATCTCATGTGTTGTTATTCAGTCACCAAGTCAGGTCAGACTGTTTGTGACCCCATGGACTGCAGCACTCCAGGCTTCCCTGCCCTTCACTATCTCCCTGAGTTTGCTGAAACTCATGTCCATTGAGTCGGTGATGCCATTCAAGGATCTCATCCTCTGTCGTCCCTTCTCTTCCCACCCTTAACCTTTCCCAGAATCAGGGCTCATCTTTTCCAATAAGTGTTTGTTGTAATACAGTATGAACATTGTTGCCTAAATCCAGTTATGACGGGAAGCTGAGGTATCTAAGACCTCAGACTTAGAACCAATAGCCTGAGGTGGCAGGAAATCAGTATACCAGACTTGTAAAGAGAGATCTAAAGTCAGTTTTAGATGGTGGACATCTTTACCTTCTTTAGCTACTTTGCCTGAGAGCGCTTTCCTCCTGTGACCGCTGATGACAGAAAACGGTGCTTCCTTCCTACGCCTTCCAGTACCTTGTTTACTACCAAGAAAGTTGTTCCTTTCTACCTTCTTTTTGCCCAAGGATTTGGAAATAATAATTTTCTTTTAGAATTAAACTAAAATATTATTATATTACTATGTCATAGATCACAGTAAAAATACATATTACCTTATAGCAATTTAGGGCTCATTACTTAATAATAAAAAAAGTAATAACAAAGGAATTTAAGTGATAACATAAAGAGGAATATTAACTGTGTAGATTAGACATTCCAGAGGTTGGATAGCATATTCTTCTTCTAATGTTGAACAAATTATGCCAACATTTAGCAGATTAAGTCAATAAGCTTTTTTTCCCCCCATGGTTTCTGTGGTTCAGGGATTATGGAATGACTTTCCTGGGTGATCTTAGCTTGATTTCTGATGAAATGGCAGTCAAGATGTTAGCTAGGGCTTCCTTCATTTCAATACTTGCCTAAGCTTGGAGAATCCCCTTCCAGGATAACTCACTCATGCCATGGTTGGGAAAAGGCGCCAGCTCCTTCCTGGCTCTGAGCAGGAGGCCCCAGTTCCGTACTGTGTGGCCCTTACAGGGCACTTTGGGTGTCCCCTTGGCATGGCAGCTGTCTTCCCCAAGAAACATGGAGAGGATGGGAGAGAGGGAAGAAGGAAGGGAGGGAGAGAAAGAATGAGAGCGAGAACAAGAAAGAGGCTGCAGTGTCCTCTCTGGCCTAGTCTTGGAAGTTACTGTTACTCTGCCACACTAACTGTTACAGGTTCTAGGTTCAGTTAAAGTGAAAGAAGTTAATTTTAGATTTTAAAGGAAGATGTATCTGACACTTAGTGGACAGATTTTAAATCTTCCACAGTTTGTCTTCATATATTTGTCTTAATCAAATATGATTTGATTAAGCATATCAGTCATGTTACGTTAGAGCAATTCCTGCCTTTGGGTTCTGCCTTTGCAGGATGAGCAAAGTCATCCAAGCTTGGTTCTCTATGTAGTAAATCACCCTAGCCTTAGTATCTCACATTACACTTTCCAGAAAGAGAATGTGCTTGTAGTTTTCTGAGTGGAGTAAGACATCATCTTTTGCAAAGGTTACTAGCACACCATGTTTCATTTTTCATTTGTTTGAGCTTGTTCACATGCTTTTTTATAAATCAGGTCGGTGGGAATGAGGCATTTTGATCACTGCCTTTGGGATGGGTTATCTGCACCAATCAGTACAGCAGAGGTTTTGGGAGTCTCCTTATTCTTTTGGAAACTCTGGGGTTGACCCTGAACTGGGGTGGAGTAATCTCTCTCTCCCGCTTCCATTCTCCTACCCAAACTGCATGGCTGCTCTGCTGGGGGAAAGAACTGAATGGATATTAGTTGGGCAAAAAAATTAAAAATCTGTCTCATGCCATAAAAAGATCAGATTTTGGGCTAGTAAGAATAGACTGAATAACTAAAAGAAATAGTATATTTCACATTTTCTTTTTTAGTTTTCTAAGGGCAGGCATAAACAAAAGTTAAGAGATATAGGGAGTGGCGATTAACCTATTATCAAGGCCAAATTAAAAAGACCATCCCTACTGGGGAAGTGGATATAGAAAGCCTTATCCAGAAGATTTTTAACATTCCAATGGGAGAAGCTTCTACAAGGGAATAGCTTGAGGCCGATAAAATTCAATTAATATAAATCCTGTTCTGAGGCCAAGCACCTACCAAATGACTCTTTGGCTCAGAGAATGGAGATTAAGAATTTACTAGTCTGTATTACCTTCATATTTTTCATCATGCCTTAGCAAATTAGAATTCTGCTTTACATGTTAGGTTTATGAACTAAACTAGTTAACACAAGTCTACAGGATTTTACATTCACTTGGTGTACTGTCAAAATCTGAGCCTAAAAGGCAAACTGGCTTCAGATAAATTTGGCTACAGAATATCACGATTATTACCAATGTTTCTGTGACAGTTAAACATTAACCTTTAAATAAATCTCAGTATCTGCACTGACCATACTTTACTCATTTTTTTATTTTTTAATTTGACTTGTGTCAGATCTTAGTTGCCTCACAGGGTGCTCTAGTTGTGGCAGGAGGGCCCAGTTGCCCCAGGACACGTGGGATCCCCGTTCCCCAAACAGGGATTGTACCCATGTCCCGCACGTTGCAAGGCAGATTCTTAACCACTAGAAGTGGTTTGTCCCACTTTAGATGGAAAGGGAAGTCCCTTAGTTAGAAAGGGAAGTCCCAACTTTACTCATTTTGATAAGGATCTAGAATCCCCTCTAATATTTGCTGTTCTACGCCCTCTAACTGTACAAACATTATATCTAGTTGTTAGTAAAGAAAAATAAGTGTAAGCACTTCTCATGGTTTCAGTTTTTAATTATTCTTTGTTGAGGAAAACTTTTTGCTGTGTGACAAGAAATGCTTATTTTTTCCTTTTTCAAGTAACTTTCCGTGATTTCTTATGACTTGTGGGTATTATATATATATATATATATAATTCCCGCC